GAGGTGATGGAGGTGTCTTGGAAAGCCTAACCCTTGTGGTGACTGCCATTTCTGCAGTTTGTGACTGTGTACTGAAGGATTAGCCCCCAGCCCATTGTGCGCCTGGGAGGCAGCAGAAAGAAGAGAGCTGTGGTGGGAGGAGGCCACCAGGGCTGTGCCCCTGAAGGGGGTATTGGAACACCAGCTCCTGTTCATACTCCAGGTGTGAGGTTTCTGGCTTTGCTCTGCCATACTGTGCCGCCGGAATGTGCCACCTTGCACTGGGTCTTGGGCTGACACCTCTGGGATAGGAGCCAAAATAATCCTCTGTGTTCTAGAAGATGATGTATCACGGGTGTCTGTGACAGAAATGGAAAGCCGCTCAACACAAAGACTCCTCAGGAAAAACAGTTTATGTTCTGTTGTGTTTCTCACAGAAGACATGCCAGTACTGCAAAGCACAACTTAGTTGGATAGGTGAGTGAAATGTGCTTGCCTCTCAAGGACCACGCTCTCTCCTCAGGGACTGTGTCATCCTGTAGAGCTGGGCGATGGAAAGTGTCTGCAGTACAGACATGAGGACCCAAGAGCCAGTAAGCCAGCTACATGGACCCAAAGCTCATCTGTGACTTAAAAAGAAACTCACTTGCTCTCTAGTGAGTAACTAGAGGGGAAGGTGTCTTATTTTGAAAGGAACAAGGCCAGGTTTATTATGGGTCTTTTTGCATGTCCTGTGTAAGATGTGCAGGCTACAGCTGGCCCCAGACAACTGAAGCATTGTTCTAAAGCCAGACTGCAGATGAACAAGAACTATGGTCACAGAGAAATAGAGAGAAGTTGAGTGAAAAAGGACAGGCTGGCGTCTGGACTCTTCTGCTTCATTATTCATTACTTTGTGGTCTGCCAGGGATGTACGACAAGGTCTCATGATACATAAGACAGATGGGTGGGTGCCACATGTGGGGTGAGCACCGGCCTCGCAGGTGGAATTTCTCAACATTTCATGGGTGGTTCTGACCTTCAAGCTGTCTATGTTATTCAGGGCCCACCTTTCAATCCCAGATGAAAGCATACAGGTTGCCATCTTCACACCCCCACCACAGTGCTGGGCTCAGCCCTGCAAGGTTCTGCAGAGCTGCCTGCCTCAGGGCCCTTGCCCTTGGCCTTTTAGGAGCAAACTCCCAATAGCAGAATTAGAAGGTGGAGAAGGAGGGAGAGTAGAATTTGGGCTGGCAGCTTATGTCTCTTAGCAGTCAGGGGTATTCCCAAAGGCTGGGGACTTGCTGGCGCCAGGGGCCCTCCACAGCAGAGCAAGGGCCACCCACATGGGCCTTCTGTGGGCCAGCTGGTTTTCCCCCAGGGTGCTCCAGGGCTGGGTTCACATCACACCCCAGGGTCACTTGCCTTCCATGACCACAAGATGTAAACTTTATTGGGAAGGGCTGTTGGGTTTTTCCCTTAGGCTCCCCAGTAAAACCCTGTCTTTTCCATGCCGGTTACAGGACAAACAGTTGGGGTACAGGATCCACAGAGCCAAAGGGAAGTTATCCATCCCAAGTGAGAGCTATCTACCTAGAAACTTACTGGAAATGGAGGCTGGCAGGTGAACATGGCGGCCACCTCTTGACTGTGGCAAGAATCCAGCTGCCCCTCTGAATTGGCTTTGAATGTGGTGTTTCCCCAAAGTCCTAAGCAAAGAGGTCTGCCTGATGCAGCCCCCTGCAGACTGTTGGCAATGGGCTTATCCATTTCCTGGCCTCTTTGCTCCCAGGGAATGTGCCCTCAGAGGGATGTACAACGAAGAATGGTGAAGCAAGCAGGCCTGAGATGACAACCCTCCAGATATGCTCCAGTAGAGGGATGGGATTGTCTGCTCATGGATAAAATGCAGACAACATTCTATTGTTTTTGTATATTATTTTTATTTATTTAAATTAGAAAAAAATCTTGTTTTATATATCAATCCCAGTTTCTCCCATGACACCCCACTGACCCCCATCCCATTCCTCTTCTGCTCCATAGAAAGGGTGAGGCCTTCCATGGGGATCTTCAGAGTCTGTCACATCATTTGGCACAGGGCCTGGGCCCTTCCCCATGTGCCTAGGCTGAGAGAGTATCGCTCTATGTGGAGTGGGCTCCCAAAGTCCATTTGTACACTAGGCATAAATACTGATCCACTGCCAGAGGCCCCATAGACTTCACAGGTCTCCTAACTGATGCCCACATGCAGGGGGCCGGTTCAGTCCTATGCTGGTTTCTGAGCTGTCAGTCTGGGGTCCTTGTTCAGGTCAGCTGTTTCTAGACACCGTTTGTGAAGTTTACTTGATGGTTTTGTCTGTGTTGGATCAGTCAGTGTTCCATGGTCCCTACTTTACCAAAACCCACCTGGTGAACTGTAGAGAGAAAAACCTGATGTCCTGGACACTGCGTGTTTAAAAGGTTCTGATAGATGCTGCAGGTTATCTCTGGAGCACGGTGGCTGCTTTCCCTGCTCTGTAAGGTCTTTCACATGCGATTCTGAAACATGTAACGCATCCTGCATGGGAAGCATAAAAACACACATAGGATGAGCGTGTATTCCAACAACTTCATTCATATCAGAAGGTCTCAGAGATCTGTATTCTGGCTAATTTATTCCCTGTGTAAGTCTCCAACAAGAGCACACTCCTCTCAGGTTGGAGTTCAGTGCAGTCATTGTTCTTGAACCGACACTCATTGTGAACAACATTTCCATGTAGGAGTTATCACACAAATAAAACTTTTTTTTAGAAACCAGGGCTACCCACACAGTTAACCACGAAAGGGTGGATTTAGACTAGGGCTGGCTTTTATGGCCCAGCTGAGGACCATGCTGCTTTGAAAATGGTGACAGTGAGAGGCTTACCACACCAGAACAAAGGGGTGGTGTGTAAACTTGGGTAACAGACACAAATACTTCACACAAGTCTCAGAGACATCAGGCTCCTACAGCTGAGATCTGCCCTGTCCCCCAGGGAGGACAGTGGCACCTGTGCCCTGCTGGCTGACCATTGCATGGCCATCAGAAAGCCACTTTGCCCCATTGGACCTGGACTAGTCTGTGATGAGGTGGGAGAGGCCTGACCAATGATTGGCATTGAAGAGCGAGTCGCTTGGTCATCTTGGGGAAAATGGCATTGCCAAGATGAAAAGAAAGCAGAAAGAGAGCCAGGCGTTGGTGGCTCACACCTTTAATCCCAGCACTGGGGAGGCAGAGGCAGGTGGATCTCTGTGAGTTTGAGGCCAGCCTGGTCTGCAGAGCGAGTTCCAGGTCAGCCTCCAAAGCAATACAGAGAAACCCTGTCCCCCCCCCCCCAAAAAAAAGAAAGAAAAGAAAAAGAAGCAGAAAGAAGCCTCAGGCCACCAATATTTCTCAATGTCTGCTTCCAGAGCAAACAATGTTTATTGTGGTAAAATCTGCATTTCATAAAATTTCCCAATGCAACCATATTTAGGGTTCATTTCAAAGACACCAAACATGTTCACATTGATTTGTAACCATCCCTAACCTACAGCTCCAGAGCATTCTCATCGCCCCACACGCAGTCTGCTCATTAAATAACAGCCCCCTTCCCCAGCCTTGGCGTCCCATTCTACTCTGTCTCTGCGAATCAGATGTCAAAGGTGGTGCCCACAGCATCTGCCACTTCATGGCTGGCTTATTTCATTTCTACCTTTCTCAAAGTTTGTCTGTACATGTGCCAAGTATCAGAATTTTTTTCCTCTGTCAGGGTGAAGAGTATCCCTCATCGCTCACTGGACATTTGGGTGAAAACCAAACTCCTTAGATTCCGGCTCATACGTGGGTGCCATGTTTTCTCAAGAACACTGTGAGTGGCTCTACTGAGTCTTTTCTTTCAATCTCTTTAATCCTGTGTTAAAAATAAACAGTGAAACATAAAGTAAGTGGTAAATAGCATGTATTTAAATGATGCTAAATATGTAAACAGGAGTGTCATTCCTCCTCACAGCCCCCTGTAGAGTTATATTTCTCCTATTTTGTTCTAGAAGAATATGTAGGGTACAAAGTCTACATTTCAAAAATAGGATTTCTGCAGCTAATCATCTTAGTGGGACCATGAATGCCAGCCCAGCCTCTGTGAGTCATTTCTTGGATTCTAAAAGGAATGCATTTTAGACAGGAGTTTTTTCATCTTTGAGGTTTGTTTTAAGAAGTGCCAGAAGCAAAAGCAAAATAATGAAATGCCTGGAGCCCTATTCAGCTCCAGAGGCAGCTCTGAAGCCAGTGGGCTAGGTGTGTCCTTGGCTGGAGGGGCCCATACTCCAGTTGGCAAGGCTCCTCTGCACTCTCTTTGGGTATCTGGCGGGACCCACACTCTAGTAGGCAGGGCTCCTCTGTGCTCTCTGGGGGTGTCTGGAGGGACCCACATTCCAGTTGGCAGGGCTCCTCTGTGCTCTCTGGGGGTGTCTGAATCCTGTGAAGTCTCCTTTTGATTTAAGAAACCCCTAAGGTGGCCTGGAGAGATGGCTTAGTAGTTAATAGCATTGGCTGTTCTTCCAGAGGACCTGAGTTGGATTCCCAGCACCCACATATCAGCTCACAGCCATTTGTAACTCCAGTCACAGGGACATCCTCTTCTGGCCTCACAGGCACTGTATGTGTATGCTGTATATATATGAGCAAAATACCTGGATATATAAAATTAAAAATTGAAACCACTGAGGAAGGTGTGATGTAGTGAAGAAGAGAGAGTATTTGAGGAAACAGGATTTAGAAGCTTTTAAAAGCCAGGGCCACCTTTGGAAGTCAATCTCCTTGAGTGGCACTGTGCTGCTCTGGACTTTTCCCCCTGTAGGCATCAGTCTGCTGGTGGCTGTTGACACATGGCTTGTTCTCAGGAGAGCTATTGCTAGCTGTGTGTTTCTTCTGCCCAGTGGCCCTGTCTCTGCTGTATCCAGCCCTCCAGTCATGCTGCATCCTTGGGGTCTTATTCCCACCTGGAGCCCTGGATGCCACCAATGCTCCTCCCTTGTGGGTAAAGCCATCACAGAATCATGTCCATGGCTTGCCTTTTCTCATCCCCCATGCCTGAGGGCTAAAGTTTCCTATCAAAGCCAGGTCTATACCAACACCAACAGGAGGGTTCACCAAGGTCTCCAGCAACTGCACACAGAATATGTTCACCCTGGCGACTCACAGCACAGTGGCAGTGGCAGTACTGATGACATGAGCTCCTTTTTTATGGTGACCAACAAGAGAGGGAAACAGTAGGTAAGTCTACTCAGGGATTTCATGTCACAGGTGTCTCCAGAAGATGGGTAAAGGATGGAGTCTTTCCAAATGCTCATAACCACCTGACCCTCTCATCAAGGAGGAAGTCCCCAGGGCTGTGTCCTCAAAAAACACTTAAGCAAACCCAAGTTTACACACCTGCTAAACCCAGCAACTTAATGGCACCTAACACATGACAGGTCCTCAGTCAAGGGTTTACTGTGTACCAGGGAACATATGTCAAGTGCACCTTGACCCATCTGCAGTGAAAAGCTTTTGAATATGTTCCTATTTTCTGTCCACCTGCAGGGCTCCCCACTGCCCAACACATATTCCCCAAATGCTGTAAGGCCTTCATCTTGGTATTTTGGTAGAGGGAAAAGGAACAGAGGGATGGTCTCAGAAAGGGAGAAATGCATGAGATTTTATGTCAAGGTTTGAGAATAACCGGTGTATTCAAAATGGGAGAAGGCAAGAGGAGGATGTGGAGGACAGCAGAGAGCTCGGGAACTAAGGTGTGAGATGTACAAGGCGGATGGGGGTTGGGGGGCAGCTTTGTTGGGCTTGGTGGTTTGCCGGGGAGGCTTGTGTTTGAGAACCAGCTGTATGGCTGACTTCTTAGGCCAGCAATCTCCTCTCCTCACTGTTGCCCTTCATTTTGACCCTTGCTGTCTCCACCCTTCACCTTCCTCACTTGTTCCCTCTAAGACAGGGCATAAGGGTGGGGATTTCATGATTAAAAGTTAAAAGATTGGGAGGGGATGATTTGCCAAATGGCTAGGCACCCTGGTTGGTCTAATATCATCCAAAGACCCCGAATCTCAGTCCCGGTGATGAGGATCCCAGAGGCTCCATTTGTGATGACACAGGAGAGCCTTTTGTATCTTCATGCTGTTTCCACCAGAAGGAGCCAGGTCAGTGCAGACCCTCAAGGCCACCTTTGGCATCCACCTGTGAAGTGCTGAAGGAGTCTCCCTGTCCCTTTTTGCTCCAAGGGACTTAGAAACCCCACATCTGACAAACACAGTCAGTCTCAGAAGGAGCCTGAGAGCTTTGATCTGTCTCAACAAAGGCTTCCCAGGCTTAGCTGAAAATCAGGATCTGTTTGTTTTTGTTTTACACTTTCTAGCTAAGACCTTAGGTCTTGAAAGGACTGGTGTTTTATTGGAAAGTTCTGTCAGTGTGGTGCCTGTTCTTGGTGCAGTCTGTCCTGAGGACTCTGGAACTGGTGGCCTACCACTCTAGGGGTTCTTGGGAAATGGCATCAGCCAAGGAAATTTGAGGCAGTGACTTGTGTATGTTCTAACTTTCTATACTTTACTTTTGTGTGCATGCTTGAATGAGTGTGTGTGTGTGTGTGTGTGTGTGTGTGTGTGTGTGCATGTGTTTGTGCATATATGTGTGTGTATCTGGGTATGTGTTCCTGTGGGTGTACGTGTGTGCACATGTATGTGGAGGCCAAGTGACAGTCCTCAGAACCTTCCCATCTTGTGATTTTGAGACAGGGTTTCTCATTGAGACCAGGACTTGATGGTTAGACCAGGTGGCTGACAAGTCCCAGGGACTCTCTTGTCTCTGACTTTCCAGCACTGGGAGCAGACCAGGTCTTCATGTTTACACAGCAAGCACTCTACCACCTGATCTCTCTCTCTGGCCCACTTGCTTTTCCTTTTTTGTTTTGTTTTTTGTTTTTTTTCTTGAGGCAGGGTCTCACTATGTAGTTTTGGCTGGAACATGCTCTATAAACCAGGCAATCCTTGAACTTACAGAGTTCTGCCTGCCTCTTCCTCCCATGTGCTAGCACTAAAGGCATGCACCACCATGCCCATATTACTAATTTCTTAATATTAAATTTAGAATAGGAGGGAGGTTGCAGGAAGAGATATGGAGAGCATGATGGTATCACCAGTCCTTGAACGGCCATTCTCACCTTTGTATTTTGCTGAAGCTCAGGTCTCTGGCATGCTCAGCAAAATAGCCAGTGTGGGCTTTCCATTCTGAGACCTTCGAGTTACCTGTAACAGTCCAGTCAGGTGTCGCAGCAGCCATGATCACCTAAAGGTCAGCCACAGCTACTTCAAAAACCAAATTTGCTTTTGAAATTTAGAAACAGATGGAAAAGAAATTGGGCAACATTAAAGAAAGTCCCACTGGGATCAACAAATGGATACTGCCCTCTCACCCTGCCGTGGTCTCACTTCTCAGGAATAACCACTTGAGATGGAAACCTGTAACCATTCTGTTTGATTGTTAGGTCACACTCTCCATGTGGCTCAAGAATACATGCTCATCTCAAAAATGGACGTTAGCTGGGGACTTTGTGCACAGAGAAATGAGGACCAGCTAGACTGTGCTTGCAATAATTTGGTGACTTAGCTGGTGGGTTTGTAAGTTCAAATGACAAGTCTGTGTTTATTGCTTCTTATGCTGTTTCTTGGGTCCTCAGATTGACACACAAAGATATGAGGGCTCTGCCCATGTCCCAACCCCTCTGTGTTAGCCACCACAGGGAAACTGGGTCCTCTCAGTGGGTATGAAGTCCATGCCAGTGGTCCCCGACCTCTTTTTGAACCCAGACATTTCTGCTTTTCCCTATCCAAAAAAGTATGACCCTTCTTTAGCATTTCTGGGCTTTGGATCTGGAAGTTTCTGGACCGTGATGGAAATGACCTGAGAAATGCATTTCAGTCCCCTCAGCAGGTGACATGGGATGGTGAGTCTCGTCTGAGAGTACTGGCACGGGATGGCATTCCAGATCTGAAGCTCATTGTACGGGACAACAGGGTGTGGCTACTCCACTCTCACATCAGAGAGAGTTCACACCTTCAACCAGTGCTGAGCAGGTGGTGAGCGTGGCGGACTGGGCGCCGCACAAGTTACCTACCTCCTGGTAGACTCTCTCTCTTTCCAGGGGCTTCCCTGTGTCCCTAGCTCTGCCACTTTACTTCAGGAAGTAGGGTTGTCACATCCAAGTGCCGCTGGGCCTGCTTGCCTGGATGGAAGTGGTGGGCACCTCTCTCACTTTGAAAGAAAGACAGGCTGTCGGAGGGTTAGCGCCATTTTAAATTCTTCCTGTTCCTTTAAAATAGGCCCTGTCTTCTTCCCTTCCTTTCCCACCGTTTCCCCCTTCTCTTCCTTTCCCTTTTCCTCCTTTCCTACCTCTTCCATATGTCCCTGTTTCTAACTAAATACCTAGATGATCAAAATACACATTTCAGAACCCTTACAGGCACTGTCGATTTGGCTGGCACCTCCAGTAAAGTAACCAATTATTTGACTGCTCTGAGGCACATATAATTGATTCTGGAAGAAAAAAATTCCAGGGCTGTGAGAAGGGTTGACTCAGGCCCAGGTCTTGAGGACCATTTGATGGTCACAGGCCCCTGGGGAGGGATGTTACTGTCGGCTATGGGTCACTGGACTCTAGCGGGGTTACTCAACCTGTGTTCAATGGGCAGGTCAATGAAGAGGTGGAATTTAAACTCCTGAGCTCTTGGTGTTATAGCCAACATCTAGTGTTTACAAATACTCAAACCCTGACAACAGCGGTAATTAATACAAGGTTGGTTTGGTTGGGCAAAAACACCAGTTTGCATC